CCAGACCGGCGCTGGGAAAGGGGTGGGGCCTGGCGGAGGGGGTGGGGCTTGCTGGAGGCAGTGGGGAAGGGGTCTTGACCCAGCCCCTCCTACCTCCTGGGGGCGGGGTCTGTAAGAAAAGGGGCGTGGCGTGGCCTCGAGGGGCGTGGCCTGTGACGGGGAGGAAGTGGGTTTGCCCCGAACAAGATGGCGGCGGCGGGGCGGAATTATCTCTGCCCCAGGCAAACCAGCGGCGGTGGAAGTAGTTCTGACTGAAAGGAAGACGGGGCGGAAGCGGCTGTGCCCCGAGCAAAATGGTCCCCGCGGAAGTGGCTCCGCCTCAAGCAAGATGGCGGTCGCAACGGGGCGGAAGTGGCTCTGCCCCGAGCAAGATGGCGCCTAACAGGGCGGAAGTAGAGATGCCCCAAGTCACATGGCGCGGGCGGGCGGGCCTTGGTGTCGGGGCGGAAGTAGCGCTGCCCCGAGGCTGTGACCGCTGCGGGGTAGGAGCCGGCGATGGGGGAGAAGAAGGTGTCAGGTAGGGGGGCTGTGCCTAGGGGCTGGGGCACGAAGGCAGTGGGGGAAGGCGGTTGGGGTCAGACGTGGGGGCACGACCCCTGCCTGTGGCCAGGGTCATTGGCGGGCAGAGAGTGGGTCACTGGGGAGGTCGGAGCAGAGTGCGGGGCACGACCCCTGCCTGTGCCCTGGGATCAGGGCGTGGGCGGGGTGGGGATGCCGACCCCCGTGCCCTCCCCTCCCCGCGGGCACAGCCCGGTCGCAGGACCCCGGGCAGCGGCGGGTGCTGGATCGCGCCACGCGGCAGCGGCGCCTCAACCGCCAGCTGGAGGCGCTGGAGAATGACAACTTCCAGGACGACCCGCAGGCCAACCTGCCCCAGCTGGCCAAGCGCCTGCCCCAATTCCACGACGACGCCGACACTGGTGGGTGCCCGTCCAGCTCCGGGAGGGGGTGTGGGTCTGCCTCCCTGCTTGGGGCCGGGGGTGGTTAGAGCAGGGCACGCAGGACTCCTGGGCTCTCTCCTGTGCCCTGTGGGACGCCGACCCCGTGACCCTGCCCCCCGTACCAGGCAAGAAGAAGAAGAAGACCCGCGGCGACCACTTCAAGCTGCGCTTCCGCAAGAACTTCCAGGCCCTGCTGGAGGAGCAGGTACCCGCCCCCCCACCTGCCCCAATGCCCCCCGGCCTCTGACCCCAGCACCCGAGCACAAGCTGTGCCGGCCTGACCCTGTACCCTGCTCCCAGGACCTGGGCACGCACGAGGGCCCTGGCTGTGTATGGGCCTGATCCCTGACCTCCGACCCCTGACCCTTGCTCCAGCACCTAAGCACAAGCAAGGGCTGTGACATCATGGCTTGAACTCTGACCCCTGTTCTCTTCTGTCCCCAAAGAACCTGAGTGCAAGCACGAGTGGAAACAATGTCCGATCCCTGCCCTTTGACCTCTGACCCCTGCTCTGTGTCCCCAGAACCAGAGTGAGGGCCCCAGTTTTGTGTTGGCTTGTGTGAGCCTGACCCCAACCACCCGCGCTCCCTGACCTCTCCCCCCCAGAACCTGAGCACGAGTGAGGGCCCCAACAACATGTTAGCCTCTGTGTGCCTGACCCCCTGACCTCTCCCCCCAGATCTGGAGCATAAGGCCCCAACCACATTAGCCTGCACGTGCCTGATCCCCGCCCGGCCTCTGACCTGTGCCCTCTGCCTCCCAGAACCTGAACGCCAGTGAAGGCCCCAACTACGTGTCAGCCTGCGCGGCGCCCTCAGGGCGGCCCCAGCGCCACTTCTGCGCCGTTTGCGGGTTTCCGTCGCACTACACGTGCGTCTGCTGTGGTGCCCGCTACTGCTGTGTGCGCTGCCTCTACACCCACCAGGAGACACGGTTCGTGACCTGCCCACCGTGGGGTCATTTGGGCTGGGGGGAGGAGTGCCAATCGAGAACAGGGACCCAGGGGACAGAGTTGTGCTGGGGTGGGGGGAGGGCATGGGGGTGCTGAGTGCAGGGGGGCTGGGTGCTTGGGTCAGGCACTGAACCCCCCCATACGTCTGTGTCATTGCAGGTGTCTGAAGTGGACAGTCTAGGGGAGCTGAAGTCCCCCAATCCTGGACTCCCCTTGCCAGGCACTGCTGTCATGACAATAAACTCTGCCCCGCCTTACACACCTGCCTGCCAGCTGCTGTTTGCCCCACCCCCTCCCGGAGCGCCGTGACGGGTGGGGGTCTCATACAGAATCTAATTATTGAGAAGTTCACTTACATTTAGGCTCATTTTATATTTGAGTAAATATTGTAGTTGTCAAGGTAGGGTCAACTTATATTGGGGTTCATCTTCTATGTGAGTAAATATGGCAATTGTTAGGGCTGGGGAAAGGGTGGGGTCCAGCCAGGCACCGCCAGGCCCATGCTCTTTTTCTGACCCAGACCTGGGGGCTGAGCGAGGGGGCAGGGTGGTGGTAGGGGTGGGATAGTTCTGCTTCGGCCGGGGGTTCGCGCTGCAATGAACACGCCTTCCTGCGAGCACTAGGACTGGGCTGCATGCGTGCGCCCTGGGATGGGGAGGGGGGTGGCAAGCTGACCCGGTGCCCCTCACTCCTGGCCTACAACCCCCCTCCCCCCACATCTCTGCGGGTGCCCCTCACTCTCGAGGCGCAGCTCTTGGCTGGTGTTTCTCATCCCCCTGGGGCTGGATGGAGCTGCGGGGGCAGGAAATAGCATCATGGCTGCAGGATGGAGCCTGTGGGGTGAGGGGGAGAAAGCGAGGCAGGGAGGTGCTGGGAGCCCCCAAATTGCCCTGCCCCACCCCACCCCACCCCGCATGTGGCTGTGGGTAATAAAATAAGGAAGCTGACTCTGCCTGGGAAAGCGGGTGCGTGGACCTGAGGGCTCCTTGCTCTTCACTCTGCAGCCTCCTCTCTCCTTTTTAATGGTCGTTGTTGTGCTGCCTGCGCTGGGGCATTGGTCTTCTCCTCTTGTGACCTTGGAGACACTTTTTTTGGCTTTTAAACTGCAGATGTGGCCCCGGGCCCCAGTTTTTAGCAGCAACAGCAGCATCTAGCGTTTCAGCTTTAGTTAAGCGGGAAAAGGGAGTGGGGTTTGGGGCAGCCCCCGCCTTGCCTCAGCCAGGGTGAGGGCCACACTCCCCCGAATCCGGGACTCGAACCCACCACCTCCCTGCTGCGCATGCGCTCCCTGAGCTCCTTCCCTTCCCTTCCCGCCGCAATGACCCGGCTTCTGCGCGCTCGCATTACCACTAGATCTAGACTGCGCGTGCGTGACGCGCTCACCCGCATTGCGCAGGCGCGACTCACCCTCTCTCTCGGTCATCCCTCCTCCTTGCGTGCCCTCGCGTACCATGGAAACGGCTTCCCTGCTCTCATTGGCCGGCACGCACGAATGTTTCTTGACCCTTTCCTCTCCCCGTAGATGGCGCGGCGGAAACTAGCCGCGGGCCGCCAACCCCCCCCATCCCTGCTGCGCATGCGGCCTAGCCCCCCCCCTCCATCGGAAGACTAAGGCTTCTGTCCACTTCCCGTGGGATCCCACTTCCGGGCTTCCCTTCACTTCCGGGGTGGAGGCGGCGGCAGCTTCCGGGAGGGAGCCATGGAGTCGGTGCTGAGTGAGGTGGTGGCGGTGGAAGACTTGTTGGTGAGTGCCCCCTTCTCATTGGTGCCCCGAGGCCCCGCCCCCTGGGGGGCTTCCCTCTCTTGTAGGGGGCTGGAAGAAGGGGGCGTATTTCTCTGCATATGTGCGCACTGTAGTATAATACCCTTGTTTTGCAGTGGGTGGTCCTGTGTTGCCTTGTATATTGCTCCTCTTTTTGCAAGGGCGGGGTCCCATATTGCCTTGTATGTACTTGTCCTGCAATATAATATGCCCCTTACTTTGCAAGGGTGGGGTCTGGTATTGCCTTTGTATACATGTGCCGTGCAATATAACACACATGGGGGTGGGAACCAGGCTTGTGAGGACCTAGAGTCTCATCTTCAGTTGGCTCCCCATCCCCTTCCTGTCTTGCCTCAAGCTGGCACCCAGAAAAATGGCCTTAAGAGGGTTGCTTGCGTCAGGGAGCTTCCAGCTACAAGGAAAGGGGCCGGTTGATGCTTGTGGAGTGAAGAACAAGGAGCCCTTAAGTAAATGGCGTCCCTCAGCTGCCTGAGGCAGGAAAGCGGGCTTCTTGGTGGCGGCAAATGTGGGCCTAGGCCCACCCTCTGCGTCTATAAGCACCCCCTTTAAAAATGCAAGCTGCTGGGAATCATAGAAACAGAAAATTTGGGTGGGAAGGGACCTTGGGAGGTCGCATCTCGTCCCCCCCCCTGTTTCAAGCAGGACCAGCCCCAACTACATCATCCCAGCCAAGGCTTTGTTGAGCCGGGTCTTCAAACCTCTAAGGATGGAGATCCCACCATCTTTCTAGGTAACCTGTTCTAGTGCTTCACCACCCTTCTAGGGGGAGAGTTTTTTTCCTAATATCCAACCTCAATTTTCCTTGTTACAGCCTGAGCCCATTGCTCCTTGTTCTCTCATCAGAGAACAGTCCAGGTCCGTGCTCTGTGGAGCTGCCTTGCAGGTAGAAGGCAGCAACTGGGACAGATAAAGAAGAAAACACAGGGGTGGGGGTGGTTAAGCCTCTCTCAGAGGTATTGAAGCTGGGACTCAACCCAGAGGGTCCTGGCTGGAGGGTCTTGCCCCTCCTCTCAGGCTCAGACAGACGTCAGATTGGTATGGACTGGGGTGGGGGTTTGCCTTCCTTTATAGCAGGGGCATGGTCTCTACCCAGGGCCTCTCGAGTGTCTGGTGACCACATTTCCCAGTGGTGTCCCTCCATGGGGCAAGCTCGGGTGCGATGCCTGATGCCATTTCAGGGCTGACAGTTGAGTTGAGAACATGGGTTTGTCCAGGGCAGGCAGTTTGGACAGGGCTGATCCTGCCTCGGGAAGGGGGCCAGCCTCAATATGACCTCCACAGATTCCCCTCCAGCTCCACTGCTCTAGGACTCTGCGATCCCCACCACTGTCAGGGATGCTCCAGCTCCACCGGGAACAGAAGCCAGAAGGTGAATTTGTGTGAGAGGTGAGGCCCCTTCTTGTCGCGTCTCCTGCCATCCTTGGGGCCTTGCTGAGGGTGTGTTAGTTAAACATGCGGGTGTCGCTGGGTGAGACCTGCAGCGCGTTGGGCGCCAGCCTCACAGCCCTTCCTGGCCTGTACCTGTGAGTTGGCTGCAGTCTGCAAAAGCCTCTGGACGAGTTGGTCTTTCAGGTGTGAACCCTGGAGAAGGGAAGCGATACCCCAGGCCCTGCTAGGATTGCTGTCTGCTGTGCTGGGGCCGAGCTGTCCCTGTTGCCCGTGTTTCAGACCCTGGCCCTGGCTTCTTCCAGATACTTTTCTCCACGGGGCAAATTTCCGCCGCAGGGCTCCCAAAGCTGTGACACCTCCTCCCATTGTATGTCCAAGAGGCTCCCCTGTAAACAACCCGTGGGCATGAAGGGCTCATTGTTCCCTGGCCTGGCGGGGCTGAGCGCCGGCTGCCGCAGCTGACACTGGGGGCTTGTTGACAAAGCTTCGGGCAGGAGCTGTGCTGGGGGGTGGCTTCCCATGCAGGGGAGCAGAACACGTTGTGCTTCAGGGGCCGCTGGTTTCTCTGGCCCGAGCTTCTGTGTGTTACTGGCCATGTAGTGACCTAGGGGGTTTGGGAGCCTTGGGGGATGGCTCCACCCTTGAGTTTGCTTGCCTGATGTTCTGCCATCTCCAGCGCTTCTCAACTGTAGCTTCTAGCAGCAAGGTCCTATTCAGCCTTCCTCTATTACAGTTTCCTTGGGGTGGAGGGTGGCGTTTCTCTCTACATGGGTGCCGTAGTTGCGTCACCGTGCAGCTGCGGCTCCATCTCTCTGGTGAATAGCCCAATAACTGGTGTCTAGTTCAGAGTAATTTGCTTTGGCTTCTCTCATCCTTCTCTGGACAAAACAAAAGTCTCCAGAGAGCCGTCTGGGGTGTAGCAGCTGCTTTATACCCCCTCCCTGGTGGCAGTAGCCCAGTTGGGTGTGGGCTGGGGGGTCTAGATCTGCCCTGGGGGGGCCAAACCCCTTTGAAGCCCCACAGTGCAGCCACTGATGTCATGTGCATGGGGTCCAGGCAGATACCTGCAGCCATGCGGCGTCCTTCCTGGCCCACATGGCAGGTCCCCCTTGCCCCAGGCTGTGACACGATGCGTGTGTGGCCCATTGTGTCACCTCATTGCCTTTGATGTCTGAGCCTGGCTGGGCTCTGTCTAGACCCTTTCTGAACTTTGCCTGCCCCATGCAGGCTCGCATGTCATCGCCGATGCTTCAGCAGCCACTTTCGTAGTGCTCTGTCTGCTCCGGGCCCAGCTGACTGGAAAAAGCACTGGCTCCTCTGGGTCCTCCCCCTGTCCCTTCTGGGTGTGGGCCCCATCTGCGCTGGGTCTGATAACCACTGTGGCACCAAACGCTTTGGCTTCCACCCTGTCTTGGGGGCACCAGCTGTGCTGGCTCTGATAACGCCTGCAGCCAAGAGCAGAGCAAAAGTGGCACTAAATGCTTCAGCCATTATGGCCTTGTGTTAATGAGGGAGGTGAATGGGGTCTAGTAGGAAGTGGGGGGGGTCTCTAGGAGCCTGGACGCCTGAGTTCTCTCCAGCTCAGGGAGGGCAGTGCGGTCTTGTAGGTTGTTGGGGTTGAGGAGGGGGCCTGGATGCCAGGCTTGAGCTACCAGGAGCGTCTGTGCCCAGGCTTCCCAGGAAAGGCAGCTTGTGGGCGGCAGGGAGTGCCCACAAATGGGGCACTGGAGCCCTTTGCCAGGAGGGGTGCATGTGTGGGTTGGTTGGGGTGATTAGCAAGGGGTGTCCGTGCATGTTCAGGGATTCATGTATATGTGTTAGTGCATTGTGGGGATGTGTGCATGAGTGTGTGGGGTGGGGGTTAGCAAGGGATGTGCGTGCATGTTGGGGGGGTTCGTGCATGTGTGCAGTGCATTGTGGGGATTGTGTGCATGCATGAATGTGTGTGGGGGGGCAGGTAGCAAGGGGTTTGTGTGAATGCTGGGGGTGTTAGCGGGTATGCGCATCACCTCTGTGGCTGCTTTGCTGCCGACCTGTGTCTTTCCTGACACGGCCGCCTCCTGGCCCTCTAGTCACCGAGAAGCACGGTAGAAGATACCGTGAGGGATCCTCCAGGCCCCGGGGTGCTGTGTCCAGCACGCTGGCTGCCTCTGCCTTGTGGAAGTGGGTGATCTACCTGCTGTCTTTTCCTGGGGCTGAAAGGGAAGAGTTGCCTGCTCCCGGGCTCAGTTTGGTATGGACTTGGCGGGGTTTCACCTCTGTCTGGATCTGTCAAGTCTCTAATGGGGTCTCCTGTGTGCCTTAAACCCTGCTAGGGGTGGCAGGGCACTGCACACCCCCCTGGCATCCCCTGGGGCAGGGCTGGGAGGGCTCTAGATGTGACCTCTGCAGGTCCCCTCCAGGGGCTGGGAGGTGGGGTCAGGGCAAGGCCCATGGACCCATTGTGGAGTGTGCCCTCCTGTCGCAGGCCTAGCCACCTCTCTTGCTGCACCCTTGGTAGGTGAGAGCTGCCAACTGCAAGGAGGACATCCCCTCTACCTCGTTTTCTCCACATAAAGCCCACTCAGTTTGTGCCTTTGCCCTGCGGGCTTGTTTGCTGGACCTCCGATAGGCACAGAGGGTGTGGAGAAGGGCAGCAAAGCTGATTCAGGGCTTAAAATCATAGAAAATTGAGCCTGGAAGGGACCTCAGGAGGTCATATCTCATCCAACCCCCTGCTCCAAGCAGGACCAGTCCCAACTACATCAGCCCAGCCAAGACTTTGCTCAGCCGGGTCTTCAAAACCTCCAAGGGTAGAGACTCCATCACTGCTCTGGGCAGCCTCTTCTAGTCTCGAGAGCAAGTGTTTCCTTGTATCTAACCTCAACTGTCCTTGCTGCAGCCTGAACCCGTTGCTCCTTGGTCTGTCATCAGAGGACAGGCCAGCTCCATGCTCTTTGGAGCCACCCTGCAGGGAGGTGACGGTTGCTATTCAATCCCCCCTCGGTCTTCTCTTCTGCAGCTCAATCAGCCCATTTCCCTCAGCCCCCTCCTCACCTAGCCCCCGAACCACTTTCATTGCCCTCCACTGGACTTTCTGCCATCGTTTCTGCCCACAGCACTTCAGATGTGGCCTCCCCAGTACCCAATAGAGGGGAGCAATCGCTGCCCACTATGTGCTGGCACCGCTTCTCCCCATGCAGCCTGGGATGCCCTGAGCCTTCCTGGCAACCTGGGCACCCTGTTAGCTCCTACTCAACTTCTTCATCCCCTGTCTCCCCCCCAGGTCCTTGTCTGCAGAGCTGCTGTGGTCCCCAGCCTGCCCTGGGGCCTGGAGGTGCTCCGTCCTCAATGCAGGACTTTGCACTTGTCCTTGTTGAACCTCATGAGCTTGGTTTTGGCCCAATCTGGCAGTGTCAAGGTTGTTCTGAATCCTAGCCTGACCCGCCGTGGTATCTCCAACTCCCCCCAGCTCGTAGCCATCTGTGGAGGGAGCACTATGGGGCTTTTCTGTGAAGAGTGAGTAGTGAGGCCTGGTCATATCCTGCTGGTGAGGGGCAGGATCAGGATGCTGACCGTTGAGAACAAGGCAGCAGGGACTGATCCTTACCTGTCTCATAGTACGGGAGTCAGGGCTCACAGCAGGAAACCAGGAGAGTTAATGCTGCTTTTGCAGCCTGCGGGGAAGGGACGTGAGGGAAGCCGAGAGCTTGGCCCAGGGCTGGGACACGTACTTGGAGGAAAGGGGCAGCGGGTGGTACTGAGCAGGGGGTGAGGGACATGGGGACTGCTTGGACTGGAAATGCCGGGGTCTGTAAGTGGGAGAGGGGTGGGGTGGGGAGGGGAAAGCCCTGCTCAGACCCAGGCTCTCTCCCTTCCAGCCTCCATGCTCTGCTGCTGGGGGAAGCAGGAGACCAGGCAGCCCGGAGCTGGGGTCTGACCTGGGGCAGGGCAGTGCTAATAGTCTCCTGTTGCTTTCCAGTGGGTCCCGCTCTGCCCTGGCATGCGGCATCCCAAGGGGCACAGGCGCCTGCAGGCGAGGCCCCCCAAATGCAGGGCAGTGCAGCAGGGACACCCCCTGTGCTCCCGCAGGCACCATTTCCTCTCCTCACCATGTCTGGCACCATTGGCCCTGTCTCCAGAGACTCCAGCTTGTTCTCTGCCACAGTTTTACATCCACTGCCTGCCTCCGGGTTCTCCCACCGTGGCTGTGTGGGGGTGTCCCGATTTTTACCCCTGGGGGTGTTGCTGCAACCTTCCTCTTCCCCACACTCTGATCCCAGCAACAGCTGGGTCCAAATTGTCTCCGTTGGCAGGTGAGAGCCGGTGGGGGGCAGCGTCCAGGGAACAGAGATGCACACCCATCCCCAACGATCACACCCCACGCTAAGGAGGCGACCCTGGGAAAGGGCCACAGTTAGAGGTCATGACTTGGCTTCCCTTCTCCCTTGGCCCGCAGCTTGTTATCTCCGGGGTTACAGACGGTGGGACCTGAGTGATATAAATCTCCACGCCAAAGGGGTTTTTAGCCGGGATCTTGTCCCACCCCCCGGCAGCAAGTGCATCTCTGCTGGGTTGCATTTCTCGATGGCAAATAGCCCAATAACTGGCATCTAGTTCAGAGCAACTTTCTTTGGCTTCTCTCATTCTTCTCTGGAGGAAATAAAATCCTCCGGAGAGACATCTTGGGGGTAGCAGCTGTTTTAAACCCCTCTTTCCAGTGCTGCTAGCCCCGCTGGGTGTGGGCTGGGGTGGGGTCTAGTAACCCCTTTGAAATCCCCAGTACAGTCGCTAATCTGAGTCCAGGATTCGGTTTAGGCAGAAATCTGCGGCCATGCATCCTTCCCTGTCCGCGAGGCCGGTCTCCTCTGCCTCAGATGGAAGAGGCAGCTGTGATGAACCGTTGCATTGCCTCATTGCCTTTGACGCTGAACCCAGCTGGGCTCCATCCAGGTCCTTTCTGAACTCTGCCCCTGGTGCTTTGCCCACGTTGGCCTGGATTCCCCTTCGCAGCAGCAGACCACGGCTGCTCTCCCTGTGGCTGGGGGTGATGCCTGGAGCAGGGTTCAGGCTGTTGCTGTAGTGTTGCTGGTTTGGATGGGGCCAGTCCTGCCTTGGAGAGGGCTTGGCCTGGATGCAGGTCCTGCAGGCCTGGTCTGACCCCACTGAACTCTGATCCGATGGACCTTGCATGCGGCAGCTTCTCCTTTATGGTCCCTTCCTTCCTTGCTCCATTGTGGGTCGGGATCTCCCTGGCCCTGCAGGCCTCCCCCTGGGAGCGGTGGGGGCTGGGTACCCCCAGCTGTTGGCTTGGACCCACCACTGGGCTTGGGGCTTCTTCCAAGCTCCTGGCCTGCGCCGCCCCTGTATGGCCCCTGCTACTCGGAGCACGGCTGGGCTCCTGCTGCCATCCCAGCTGCTCCTGGTGCCCCTGGCTTGCAGCTCCCTGGTGCACCAAGATACAGGCCCAGGGCACCCGGAGCATCTGTGCCCATGCCCAGGCTCCCTGGGAAAAGCGGCTTGCAAGCAGTGGGGAGGGAGTGGCCACAAGGGGGCACCAGAGCCCTTCTCCAGAAGTGGGGGGGTGTGTGTGTGTCTGGAGCAGTTAGCACGGCGTGTACATGCATGTTGGGGGGTTAGTGCATGTCTGCAGAACATTGTGGTGGTGGTGTACATGTGTGCATGAGTGCATAGGGGGGCTTGGCAAGGGGTGTGCTTGCATGTTGGGGCCTGGTTAGTGCACGTGTGCGGTGTATTGTAGGGATTGTGTGTGTGCATGTATGTGTTGGGCTAGCAGGGGGTGTGCATGCACGTTGGGGGTTAGTGCATGTGTGCGGTGTATGGTGGGGATTGTGCATGTGCACGAGTGTGTTGGTTTAGCAGGGGGTGTGCATGTGTGCAGTACATTGTGGGCGTGTATGCATGAGTGTGTGGGGGAGTTAGCAAGGGGTGTGGGTGCTTGTTGGGGGGGTTAGTGCCTGTGTGCAGTGCATTGTGGGGGGTGGGGTGTAGTGCATTGTGGGGATTGGGTGTGTGCCTGAGTGTGTTGGGGGGGCTAGCAAGAGTTGTGCATACATATTGTAGGGAGTTAATGCATGTATGCAGTGCATTATGGGGATGTGTGTGTGCATGAGTGCATAGGAGGTCAGCAAGGGGTGTGCGTATATGTTGGGGGATTAGTGCGTGTGTGCAGTGTGTTGTGGGGGGGAGGCTTAGCCTGTGTGTGCGCGTTGGGGCAGCTTAGTGTGTGTGTGCATGCATGTGTGTTGGGGTTTGCATGTGTGTTAGGGTTAGCGTATGCATGTGTGTGTGGGTGTTGGGGTTATTGCATGCGTATGTGTGCATGTTATGGAATAGCTGGTGTGTACGTGGGGGGAACTTTGCTCATGGGCACGCATGTGCCTGGGGGCTAGCAAGTGTGCATGACATGCTTGTACACACTTGGGGGAGGGATCGTGCGCGTGCATTGGGGGTGGTTAGCGTGTGCACAAGGTGGGAAAGGTTAGCACAGGTGGATGTGTGTACGTTGAGAGGGGCAGGGGGCTACTGTGTGTGCGCCCATCCGGGGCCTCCATGCTGGCGCCCTGGCTTACGCCAGTGTCTCCGCCCTGGCATCATCCCTGGAGGGGGCAAACCTGGGTTAGGGTGAGGGGGGCGGGGCTGGCATGAAAGGAGCCCTTCATCGCCACTGTTTGCTAAACAAGGGCTTAGCGTGTGGGGGGGACGGTCCCCCCCCCCTCCCTTCCCCTGCTTGCCTTGGCACGTGGACTGGGCCTTGGCTTGGCACCTGCAGGCAACAGCTCCACCTGGGCAGGCCCTGGCGTGGGGCCAAGGGGCGGGGGGGGCCATGGGCATCCTCTGGCATCAGAGGCAGGTGGGTGGGGGAGGGAGCACCAGGTGCTGACAGCCCCCATGCCCCACGGCTTGCGCTACACGTGACCCGGGGGTGGGCCTGGAGCCCTTTGAGGTCTGTAGGAACCTGGACGCCTGCATTCTCTCCAGCTCAGGGAGGGGAGTGGGGTCTGATGGGATGTTGGGGGTCTCTAGGAGCCTGGACTCCTGGGTTCCCTAGCCAAGGCAGCCCAGTCTGGCTCCCCTGCTCCGTGCCGGGGGGCCGCCATGGACAGGGCCCCCCTGGCTGGAGGGGCAGGCCTGGGGCCACGTGGGGGGCGGGGACACCATGGGGCCAGCTGGGCTGGTTGTGCAGGTGCAGGTGCCGTGGTGGCCAAGTGTGAGGTCACTGGATCTGGTGGCCCCAGCCACTTCCCTGTTAACCCTATGGCTGCCCCAGGGCCAGCCGGGGGTGGGTTTGGGGGGCCTGGGCAGGGGATCCTGTGGGGGTCAGGGGTGTGTTTGGGAACTGGGGGTCTGGGCAGGGAGTGGGGGGGGCAGGGGTGGATTT